TAAGAATGTATGGGATTATCACGGCTCAATGCGTTTTAGACAGGTCAAGAAATAACTACAAAAGGCTGTGTTTTAAGATCTAAATGAATTTTTCATGTTCATGGCCAAAAACAGCATATAATTCCCAACAATTATGCAAAGTTTGAAGTCAAACTGCGATTATTTAGCAAAAACCAGTAACCAGTAACCAGTAACCAGTAACCATGACGAGCGGACACGCTCTCAAGAGCTCCGTAGTGCTGCATATTATAAGTATCCTGTTTCAATCTTTTTTAACAAAATATGGATGTACAAATGGCCCTAACACCTATTCTATGGACTATCGTCAAATCTCATCTTCCTATGAGYTRGATATGGGTTATTTTCTACCATGGACGTTAACCCTTCACTTTCGAAGGTTACGAGTTAATGGCTACTTCAATTCAAGGGTCAACTACTATGTCAATTCGACTGCCAGTTTCAATCAAGCTCGTTTGATAATGTGCGGAGATGTGGCTCTAAATCCTGGTCCCGATATGGGTGATTCAGATCTAAATTTTACTTCCAACGGMCTTGTTATCGGTTCATGGAACATTAATAGACTAAACGACTCTAAATTCCAACAAATTAAACTTATGCTGGTCTCCCAACGAATCGATGTTTTRTTCCTTGTTGAAACGTTCTTGGAACCTGATAAGGCCGACTCTGTCTACGCTGTACAAGGTTACGAAATACACCGAAGGGACAGAGGTGGAAAGACCGATGGAGGAGGAATCTTGGCTTATGTTAAGGGTAGTCTGAAGGCTAGCCGAGATGTTGATCTTCAAGATAGAGATATTGAAATTCTCTGGCTCAATGTGTGTCCCTACAAATCAAGTCGTCCACTTTTAGTGGGGTGTGTGTATAGACCTCCTTCATCATCAGCTGCCACCGACCGACGCATAGAATTGAACATTGAGACTGCGTATTTAAAGAATAAAGAAACTCTCATCCTGGGTGACTTTAATATTGACTATCTTAARCCTATTATCTACAAGAAGCACTCGCTTAGCAAATCCTTGAAGTCCATGAATTTTACTCAGCTTGTTRATACAGTTACCCGCCCAGTAAGTGGTACATGTTTGGATCATTTCTATACAACAAATCCCAAGTTTATTTCTAACATTAAAGTGCCTAACATTGGTTTGGCCGACCATCTACCTGTCTTTGTCCAACGCAAATATGCAAATATGAAGGGCAGTGATTCAACAAACTCTAAACATCTCTTAATCAAATATCGAGATTCCAAAGACTTGAATATTGACTGCTTACTTTCCGATCTTTCAGTCGTCCCTTGGGAGGTTGGATTCATTTTCGACGACGTGGATGATGTTTTATTCACTTATGATACTCTGCTTAACGATGTCTTAAACAAGCATATGCCGATCAAAGAAAAACGAGTCAAGAAAAAAGTCCAGCCCCCGTGGTTTAGCAAAGAAATTAGTCAAGCAATCAAAGAACGTGATTTGTTATTAAGAAGAGCTAGAAAGAGCAACTCCCCTGACGACTGGTACAAATACAAACGTGCTCGATGTAAAACTGTTAATTTTATTAGAAAGTCTAAACGCATATACTTTAATGAAGCAATTGAACATAATAAAGGCAACCCAAAAGGAATTTGGCGCGCTCTTCGATCCCTAGATGGAAAAACAGAAAAGTCATCAAGAATTAGCTCTTTAAAAACGGATGATGGAATAACTTACGACCAAACACAAATTGCCAATTCCTTAAATAAWTATTTTGTAAACATCACTTCGCAATTGGACATTTCTAATGAGACTAACCATCACGTTAATGAAAAGCTCATTAATTACATTGACTCTCGCATTGACTCTGAAACCAATTTTAGTATTCCACCAATAACTGAAGCGGAAACCATGAAAATCATCAAATGTTTACCAGCTAATGCAGCTACTGGTCCCGATGGAATTAATTCTAGAATTCTTAAAACTATTGCTCCAGTGTTTGCTTCACCTCTAAAGAAGTTATTGAATGTTTCGATTTCTTCAAGTGTCTTTCCAACACAGTGGAAAACAGCTCGTGTAACCCCTATACATAAGGATGGTCCAAAGGATGAAAAAGAAAACTATCGTCCCATATCCGTACTCTGTAGTCTATCTAAAATTTTGGAAAAACACGTTAGCAGCTCATTGTACVATTATTTGCAAGATAACAATCTCATCTACATAAATCAATCGGCTT